AAACGTTTGAATTAATCTTATCAGAAATTTCTGGGTTCTGATGATCTTAAGAGATAAGTAACAAGAGAAAAACAAAGAAAATGTAGAAAATTTTGTTCTCATCTGCTCGTCCTCCCCTTTTTCTAATAAATTAATCCACAACGAATTTGCAGTGTACGGAAAAATTCGAGTTGTTCGATCCTGCGGTTATTTAACAGACGTGAGGGATAATTCAGATTGCGTGAGGAGATCTGGCACTCACGAAGTTTTCGCCTGGTACTGCGGCTGCACAACTGATTTATGTAACTCTGCGCCCCTTGATACATCACCATTTCAAATTTTCTGTATTTTCACACTTGTTCTCATATGGCTCATCAATTAACTTAAGTATTCCATCCCTAGAAGAGCAACGAGACTTCCTGTACAAAAACAAAAACCAGATATTTCACCAATTTTCGTTTTATTATCTTATATATTTCCTCCATTGAATTTCCTTCTTCCATTACAAAACATTGAAAAATTTAGGTCTCATTATCGACCAATGAAACATTTACGAAATGATTGCTCCAGTAATTATTGATTTATCGTCTTTGATTGGTACAGAAAAAAATTAATTCATTTTCTTACCCATATATTGTTTCAGGTTTTATTTTTTAATTTTCCGTGATAATTGTAATTATCAACGAAACGGTTGTGGTTTCAGAAATGTTTAACATATCCTTAAAATATGGACGGGTTAAATGCATATCCAATTTTGCTTTTCAATTGGAGGTCGATAGAGGAATGGTGGAACCTTTATCGTGCAATTTATAAGTTCTATCACATGTAGGAATATTTTGGAATTGACGGCAATTTAATTCTAAAAAATGTAATACAATGAATTTTTATGTTGAGTCTTATAGGTTCTGACGTTTTTTTGGAGAATTCAATTGAGATTTTTTATTACTATTTTGGATAAGTGTCGGTAAAAGAAAGGGATGCTCGGGAAATATTCCTCTGGTTATAGTAATGTGGGGGCTTCTATCAATATTGTTAGATCACTTATTCATAACAACAGTTTTTTGTTAAAAAATTTTATCCGTCACAGAGATTTCTAATCTCTGATTCAATATGCAATGCGATGTAAGATGAGAAACCTTCAAAAAGCTACTAGCAACGTTGGGTTCGCAATTTTTTTTATGAATTTTCCAAATGAAACTGTATGAGTCTCGAATACTGCGCTCTGATTGGTTCTAATCCGAGTTTAAAAAATAATATGATTAAAATTAATTGGATGACTTTTGCAGGAGAAATTTCCGAGAAGTTTGATTTGAGAGAATTTACATGTTGTTCTTCGAAATTTCTTATCTTAAACTGAAGGACGAAACAGCTCAAACGAAATTGTTTCCCAGATCATTTAAGGGCCGGATGGAGTATCTCGCAAAGATAATTTACTCCAAAATTGGGATTCCTAATTACTCCGCCAATTAATTGTTTTTTCCAACAATTGTTAGCTAGCGTGCTAGTCGTTGACAACCGCTAGAACGCTAGCTAACTATTATTGAAAAAAAAACGATTAATTGCCAGAGTAATTAGGAATCCCAATTTTGGAGTAAATTATCTTTTCCAGGCAGTCCATGCGGGCCTTAAGGCTTGGGTGGATTATCTAGAAAAGATAATTTACTCCGAAATTCGGATTCCTAATTACTTTGGCAATTAATCGTTTTTTTTCAATAATTGTTAGCTAGCGTTGTAGCGGTTGTCAACAACTAGGTCACTAGCTAACAATTATCGGAAAAAACGATTAATCGA